ATGAGCAACATATTTCACATATGCAATCATTTTAATCAAAAAAAAAAAAAAATTTTCGTGGTAGTTTTCTAATTTGTGTGCTTTCTTTATTTTTTACCTATAGAAATCTAATTGTGTATGTATGCGTTTCATGGTTCAACTGTTAGATTTTTGGGGCATTATGAAAAATTTGCTAAATATATATAAATATTCCAATACCAAACATCCTAGGAGTAATAATATATGTGCAAAATTTCAAAGTTCTATCTTTAATATTGCGACCTAGCATACCGTGCATATTTTTGCATATGTTTGCATATTTTGCATATATTTTGCATATTTTTGCATATGTTTGCATATTTTGCATATATTTTGCATATTTTTGCATATTTTGCATATTTTGCATATGTTTGCATATTTTGCATATGTTTGCATATTTTGCATATGTTTGCATATTTTGCATATATTTTGCATATTTTTGCATATTTTGCACATTTTTGCATATTTTGCATATGGTTGCATATTTTTGCATATTTTGCATATTTTTGCATATTTTGCATATATTTTGCATATTTTGCATATTTTTGCATATTTTGCATATGTTTGCATATTTTGCATATATTTTGCATATTTTGCATATATTTTGCATATTTTGCACATTTTTGCATATTTTGCATATTTTTGCATATGTTTGCATATTTTGCATATTTTTGCATATTTTTGCATATTTTGCATATGTTTGCATATTTTGCATATGTTTGCATATTTTGCATATTTTTGCATATTTTGCATATTTTGCATATGTTTGCATATTTTGCATATGTTTGCATATTTTGCATATTTTTGCATATTTTGCATATTTTGCATATTTTGCATATCAACAATGCATATTTTGTATATTTTTTGCATATATTTATCGCATATCGACCTAGCATACAGTGCATATTTTGCATATTTTTGCATTTTTTTTGCATATTTTTGCATATTTTGCATATTTTTTGCATATATTTTGCATATTTTTTGCATATATTTTGCATATTTTTTGCATATTTTTTGCCCATTTTTGACATGACACCAAATGACGATCAATTAAAGCATGAAACGCCTAAATACAAAATTTGAGTCCAATCGGATAAAGCATAAAAAATATGCAAAAATCCGAGGTCTATCCATAACACACACTGCTATTGACGTTAAGAATTGGATCGTATACAATACACCACACATGCTGATAACACCACCACAACGCCCCGATTTAAATCCGATTGAGCACCTATGGGATCATCTAGATAAACGAATCCGAAATCATACAATTTCCAGTAAGGCCCAACTCAAAGAAATACTTCTGACAGAATGGGGTAAAATATAGTCCGACTACACTAAAAACTTGTATACTCAATGCCCGAACGATTCAATGAAGTTTTAAAACACAAGGGATATCCTACCAAATATTAGTTAAGTCAATTTAATTGTAAAAACTAAGTAATATTAAATAATTCATTATTTTTCTCCAGGGGTACCAAGACTTATGCTATGCAAAAATATGGACTTTTCACTATGTCTATTTTATTTTATATTTTGTTGTAATAAAAAAATTAAATATTACTTTAATTTGTTGTAGTATAGGATTGAATACATGAAATAAAAATATATATTTGAAATCTTGTGAATTACTTTTTGAGGAATTACTGAATATTTTTTGATTTGTATGGGGTACCATGACTTTTGCTGCTCACTGTATAAGATCAAACGTGCTTGCATTGACGAAAATGCGATAGAAAAAAAAACTATTTCTGAAGGTGTGTGTGAACTTGAGATCAGAGAACGTAAACAAACAGTACGATACCCGTACGAATCACACAAAGTCACAAACTTTTCATTTGCTTTGATTCGTTTCGTTTTTAGTACCAAACAAAACCACAAACTTTTTAAATCAAAAAGAACCAAGCAGTACGATTGCTTCTGTTGGTCGATGTTTAGCACTTCTGTACTTCTGTTGGTCGATGTTTAGTTGAAACGTTTGGGAGGTAAACGAAAATGAAACGTTTTCAATCGTTTGCTCGGGGAAAATGATCATTTGTCGTGTTATGTTTGTTTGATTGTATTTTGTTTTCTGTTGTTGGGACTGAAGTTGAAGGAAACTTTATAACATTAATGCAGTTTTAAATTAGAGTGTTGAGAGTACTTAAGTCCGTATAAAATAATCCGAATTAATAAGCTAGTATAGTTATATAACCCATAAGTTATTTTAATTTAGGTGTTTCGGGCTAAATATATGTAAGGTCCGTTTTTTAATTCCTTCAATTAAAATAGGGGTTTAGTATGGAGTGCAGTCGAGTTCAGCTTTGATTTTTGTTTTATTTTTTTTGTGTGTCTGCCTAGAACATCATACTAAATTTTTTCCTGCGACTCTCGGATTTATGGCAATTTTTTGAAAAATGCCAATTTTGTGTAGGAAGCTTTTTTAAGGTTTTGTTTAAATAAAATTAAAAGTTTGTGCATTTTTTTATATAATTCATCAAATATGACTTGGAATAGATCACAGCATAGCAGATAAGAAAAAAGTTCAAAATGTCCATCCTAAGGTTCAAGAGTACAGGGTGTGAGTATGAAAATGAGGGATTTAAGTAAGCTGCTCCAAACATTGATTTTAAACTCATGCACTGAATATACATTTATTCCAAATGTCTTTCTAAATGAAAATTGAAATTACAACGAAATCGGCTGTAAGAGTCTTCTAAAATACCGCAGGTAAAGGGTCCACTTTATGAACCCTGGAAAAATATCATTGGTGTAACATTCATATATACACTGTTTTACCTATATTTATGATTTTCGTGGAGGTGGACTTTTATTATACCTGTTATGGGGTTTCCAATGACTGACATGACTTCGGATGACTTTATGACTTTGTCATACGAACGGGATGATACAGGTATCAGTTACCTATGATTGCAAAAATACATATTATTTATAGATTTTTCTACCTATGAATAAAAAATCCGCATTTAACAAATGTTCATTCATAGATTTTTCTCATTCAATAAGTGTCAAAGAACGGGATTATACAAGTTATAAACAAGTGAATAGCGATTTATTTTAGTTAGTTTATTTTATTAAAAATTTTAGTATCATTCTTTCAACCATGGCCTGTGGATATGCTGTTATGCCTTCAAGCATACACAAAATATTAGTGCATGGAGCTGATATAATTAACTGTGCAGCTTTGCCCATAGGAATGTTGTCTGAAGAAGCCATGGAATCCAGAAATAAGGACTTTTGGAACTACAGGGAACTGTACACCAGAAAAAATAGTCGTGAGGAAACAATGAGGGATCTTTTCAATAGGTTGCTATTTTCATCTGATCCAAAAATATCAAGTTTGTCTCGTAGTACATCTCTTAACCATCGATAAGTTATAACGAAAAATGTTGCTTATTATAAAATATTTCAATTACTTCAAAATAGTAATTTTCACCTAAAAATTTAAGTTTTTTCTAAAAAAACAATCGGCGCTTAATGGGTTAATAAAAAAAAAAATTGCCAAATTTTTTCATAAAATAATTAAAATTGTCCATCTAAATCTATTCTTATTCAAAATATCGATAAACATACAGTAAAACATCTACTTTGATTTTCTGCGCGTTAGATCTGCATTTTTTCCCACTGTGCACTACCGCCACTCTCCATAGAATAGCAACACAAAAACAACAATTTATCATTTCGCTCGGCAAACGTTTGGAAACTTTTCATTTTCGTTTCGCTCGTTGTAACTGAGAACTTTTCGATTTCATGCACTCATGAGCGCAAACAGTACGATATACAAAACGAAAGAACTTTATGTGTGGTTTTCTTTTGTTTCGTTTTGTTCTTTCGAAAAGTACGGTACGAAACGATTGCAGACGTTTCATATAGTTTATTTTCATACTATGCTTGAGATGTCAACGCCCGCCGCTAGAAAATATAGCCTTAAAAGTCAAACCTTGAGTCGCATATTAAAACAAAATGGAACATTTAGAGGACCTGAATTTCAACTACATTGATAGCGGCGATAATTAAGAGGCTATGACTATCAGGCATGTCACAGATTCCGATCGGATTCCGTAATTGCATTTCGATCGTTTTTGTTTTAGCTTCTTTAGATTCCGATCGATTTTATGAATTCCGAAAACTGAAACGAATCGCTTTGCTTAGTTGAAATATGGCAACATTGCTATACAAAACCATATGATTAGAAATAATTATAATTATGAACAGATTTAAATTACGTCAAAGAATTTTTGGTAGCTAATTTATTATGCATCATGAATATGCATAATGTAGAATGGTAGCTATCTTCGGGAGTACATATTGGAGGTATTTTAATTATTTCAAAATATTGTGTATAATTCACAAATGCTAGATGTAGAATTCGATCATAACAATTTGTTGTGCTATTTATTTGATAAAGGTTTATATCGCTAAATCGATTTACAATTTCAAAAGTATATAGGTTTACATTTGCTCAGATGTCAAGGGTGTTTGAGCCTCAGAATCTGGAAATGAAAGCCACTTTACGGACGGCAGATTAAAATCGCCAAGAACTAATATTCTGTCAGAGTCATTCGTTTTGTTAGTGATTGAATTTATTGCTAACACATGCTGATTATAAATATCAAGTTGCGATGAGGGAGGAGTGTATGAGCAATGAATGTATAGACGCTAAAGTACTCAAAAAAAGTGCTAGTGAAGTGACCAAAACCAAAAAACTCAAAACCAATTTGTAGCAAAATATCATTTTATTTTATGTAATATATTTATCATGTGTTATAGATTTTGCAAAAATCTAACTATATTCATTGTCTTCCACCTTAAAAAGTTTTATATATTTTGTTAACATACTGTAAAATGTAAATGAACTATAATGCTGTTTGATGGAAGGATTACTTTTTTATGTACAAAAATATTGTATTGTATCTGTAAATTTAATACACATTAAAATAGATTATATTAAGAAAATAATATTTTTTAATTTTTTTTAGGTATCGTCTTCGTGTAGTTCGGTATATGTCGATGGTTCTGAAATACGAGGTTCATCGAATGCGACGATAATTGTAAAATATGGAACATATATTGGAGTAGCAAAATTCATTGTGTGGATGCCAGAGTTTCCACTTGAGGTTTATATTAGTGATTTTCGCCTTTCACAAATTAAAGGGTGGAAAGTAATGGATGAACACCAATACATGTAAGATTTTATTTGTAATTATCATTATTATATTTCGTTATAGCGAACTAGTGGGACAAAGCAAATATGTTCATTATAGAAGAAGTTATTTTTTTTATTTTTAACAGCGCTCGCGAGTATTCACAAACATTTGTTTCTTGAGTTTTTCAAAAGAATGCTCTTCAGCAACAAATGCTCGCGAACATTCGCGAGAGTATATATATATATATATATATATATTTTAAATTCCCATGCCCATTAAATTCCAGTAAACCCCGATTTGTTAACTTTTGGCCTCGATTTCTAGAATTTCCAATGGGTTATTGAGACTACAAAATTCATTGTTTCGTTCATTAAAAAAGTAAAAAAAATTAAATCGAACTTAAATTATGTCATCTGTATATTGAGTATTAAGGATATATATATATAATATTTAAATATATTTATATAACATTCATAATTCTACAACTTGTTTTCTAGCCATAAAAAGTCTCGTAGGAAGAAAAGATCATTTTTTCACGGACACGAACGGGCGTATTATAGTAATGGTCTTCAAGAAAAGATGTCGTGTCGAGCTCGATATCAACAAAGTCCCGTTGAGGTATATGCTAGATTCGTTGCAGTTGATCAGGTAAGATTGTAAAATCAATTAACTTATTATTATAGTCTAATATTATATTTATTAAAAAGAAAAAAATAATAAAATGCTATTACTTCATATCATCGTCGGGAGTTCTTTCGAAAGGTAACAACTTTGAATGAACTCCCGACGCACCTGCAACAAAGAAAACATGGACCAAAAATGGAATTCACTTTCATACTCTCTTCAGGTTTGTCCAGATATTGTTTGCCAGAAAAGTTTACAGATATAGTTTCCCAGAAAAGTTTACAGATATAGTTTGCCAGAAAAGTGATAAAACTATTTACTATAAAAAAATAAGAAATCTGCCAAAAATTATTCGTCTACCCTTAGACGTAAACTGAAATACTGTCAATTTGGTGGGTGGGTCGAGGTAACATATATTGGCAATATTGCCAATATTTTAAAATAGCTGAAGCGGAGGTTCACCCCTTTATAACTCGGGAATTACTTAAGTATATGAAAAAAACGTGATCTGTCGTTGCAAACTTTTCATGATATTGACCTCCAAACTTTATTTGCGTGGAAGCTGTGTCTACTTAAATGCAAAAAAATGTGTAAAAATAGGTTGAGGCGAACCAGTTTTTGTATGTTCTCTATCGATTTGTGACTAAGCTACTCACTTCACGGTCTTCGTGTCAAAGTAAACCTAGAAACCAACAAAATGGGGACTACGTCTCTTATATATCATTCTGCACCTTCCTTTAAATAATGCTGACATGTTGAAGCTCGATTTTGAGTGTTTTTTGAATTTTATTTGTAGTTTTAATACGCAAACAGGAATTTCTAAAAATAGATTATAAGATTATTGTAGTCGGGAATCTGAGTAATTTGATATTTATTTTGTGTATGTAGTATGCACAGCTTCAGAGTAATACTCATCCGAAGGTGACAATTTTGTGCGATCAAATTTCTAAAAAACCGGGCCAAATTTTTAGACCTGTCAACTGAATGATATGGGTACCCGCGATCAGTAAGTTTTTTTACGTTTCGGATGATATAAAATTTTTTTCGTAAAAATCCATATACTAGAATGGCGGGAACTGGCCTTCCAAAAGCGCGAAATTTGGCAAAGAATGTTTTTGAAGATATCGCGGATTTAATTTCATTTTCTGTGGATCATTTCCGCTTCAATAAATGACCTGATACGAATTTTAATATTTTTTGAAAACAGAACTTTAAAAACTTCAGCCGAAAGAGGGATGTACCCAATTAACTCAAAAATAGAGTGAGATGGGTCATCCATGGTTCAGAATGGACCGCATTAAAATCGGTATATATCGGCGTTTTTTTAGGGTGAACACCGAAATCGGATGCGCGTTAATGGCATATGGAGTTTTCTGAAATTATTCGCGTTTTTCGAGTTTTTGGGTACTTCAATGCAACGTGCACTACATCTTAGCCGTTAAATGAAATTTCGTAAAATATACATGGATTGGAAGATAAACTTCAGCACTTCCTGGAAACCGCATGCCAATCAAATGATTTTGAGAATTACACGATTCGGAAGGGTCTTGCTACAATCCGCAAGGTGTATACTTATGCACAAGAAGGGATTATTTTTATATATGAAAATTTTCGGCGAAATTGTTGGTCAATATAATAAACCGCGTAAGATTTTTTCCTATGCCCAAAATTAAAACCTCGATAACTTTTGCGCGCATCAACCAAAAATTTGATCGCGAGCGGTTTCGGAGTCAGAACATTTTTCTCTATATGTGTACTAAATATCATTGATGTACCACGAAAACAAAAAAGACGATTTTTTGGAAATGGAATATTAAAAAATTGGCAATATTGCCCATATATATATATATATATATATATACAGTGGTGGTCACAGAATTAAAACATTTACTGTGGTAGACATTTTTTGATCAGGGGGGTTACTCTGTATTGCGATGCGTGACAAAAATTGTAACGCATCGCGTAATTGGTACTCTCTAATTCGTTTTCGTGTCTCCTTTCGCATCTAGTTTACGCAAATGTGGCATCACCGCACTCTGTAATACGCATGTCAAACTCGTTCGTTAAGCGCAAATATCTTGCGTTAACAAAATAGCAAACGCAAAGGAAGCGAAACATATAAGTTAGGTCAATTAAATTTTTTATTTATATAGGGTAAACGCACCTAATTCCGGCATGTACCAATAGTCGGCATCTGTTTTATATAACTTCAAATAACTAAAAAATCCTATGACTAAAAATAAAAATACCTTGAATAATCTTTAATAGCACTGCAACCTATCTCTGTATAAAATTTATTCTAGCTAAGTACATTTATTTAGTCAAAATTTGGCATTTTGTGCATGAGGTTGTCAACACTAGCGATAATTCATGTTTCTTAAGAAAAAATTAGTGGACATGTCAATTTCAAAAGACTTGTAATTATATTAAAATAATATATTTTTACAAGGATCTTCTTCGTAATTGTAAAGAACATACAGAAGAACACTTTAGAATTTAAAATCATTAAAAATATTTGTAATTATGATATTTTTATCGATGTCGACCTCAGGAACAAAATTTTTTAAGGTGTTCCAATAGTCGGCATATGGGTGAATAATAAGCAACATTTCGATCATTTTGGCTCAAAATTGCAAAAAATGTTGTATAAATGCTCTAAATAACAATTAATTTATAAAAAAATCAGTTTTGAGTGGTTTTACATAATGGAAGACATCGTTGAATTTTAAAAATTTTAACCTCTGAAATGCCTTATTTAGACATGCCGATAATTGGATAACAGGTTCCCAAAGTCGGCACCATGTTTTATAATTGTAATATTTTAATAAATAGTATTATTTTACATAACTTTTTCAATACAACACTGATGGAAACGTCCCATAGTAATAATTTATTATTGCAAATAGCAGATAAATTGATTAAATATATAATTTTCGTTTAAGTAATATGCGACCTTTATTTTCTATAATAAGGGTGTTTTCTGAATGTTAGGTGTACTGTACAAATTTTTGGCAATTTTGATAGATTTTACATATTTTTATCTGTAAATGATTCTATCAGTGCTTTGTTTACATAATTGAACTAAATTAAAGAGCTTTTTTAAAAATATTTTCAAAAAAATGCAGTAAAGTAAAAAATCACACAATGTTTTAATTATATGGCCACTTCAAAATCGATGTGTTTTCATAAAAACCGTTATTTATGGAAAATTGCATGCAATGATTTTCTATTTTCGCACTAAATCTCTTAAGTGCAGTATATCGAAGTGTTCTGAATTAAAAAATTTCAAAAATACTTCAAACGAATCGAGGGCTTATCAAAAAATTTTTACCACAGTAAATGTTTAAATTCTGTGACCACCACTGTATACATATTCAATATATTAAGAAAGCGCAAAAACGTAAGATATTAATCCAGTTTTGTCCATGTTTCAAATTTTCAGTTTTCTTCTCCGAAGTCCTTTTTATTGAAAACACATTTTATGTGAATTGCCATACGCTTCACGAGGTTTTGAAATTGACATTGGATTCAAATCTGGGCACTGTTCTGCCCCCGGCAAGTACACTTCAACAATTCAGTTATTGTTTTTACCGTTGGAACGCCAAACTAAATTTCTAAGATTTCTTGTCTAAATATATTCCTGGTCAAACATATATTTGTCTATAAAAATTTTATTGCATTATATTTAAAAAAAATCAAAACTGTGAATAAAAATAACTTGGTGGGTAATGTGGGCCACTAAGTTAAAAGGTAGGTTGTAGATCAAAATTTTTGTTAAAATTTCAATTTATTGCAATTTTTGTTAACAATGAATCCAAAAATGTGTGGGTTCATGTTTTGGAATAGCCACCATTTAAGAGTACCGCCCCATTTGAGGTATTTTGAATGTCCCAGCTTCATTATCTAACCGAAACGCTGTAATTTCGCATATCAAGAGGATATAATACCTCCTCGTAGATATGTTTTTAATATAGGCCCATGTTTCCAACTTGTCCCCATGAAAATGTCCCGTTTTTTTTACTGGTCCACATTACCCGACTTTGAATTTTTTTATCTAAAACAATTTTTCGGCTTAAGAAATAAATAAAAATTAAAGCTCATCGATTGTAATTACAGCTAAACGTGCATTTTTATCTTTATATTTAAGAAAAACAAATTGTTTGACTCTTGTGCTAAAAAAACTTTTCAAGTGCACTTCAACAATTCAAGGCGCTATTGTCATAAACGCATAGTCCACATTACCTAAAGTTACTATTTTTTTTTAATTATTTAAAAATTAATTATTTGATTATACACCCCACCATAAGGTGGAGTTTATATTTAATTGCAACACCTCGAAATATTCATCAGAGACAGTATGTAGTATATAGATTCGTGATCAGAATAAAATTCTATGTCAATTTGTGGATGTCAGCATAGCTCAAATTTGTTGAAATCACGATAGAGCTCGCAATTTTTAAGATAAAAATTTAAATATACATTGTTATTACTCCTAGGGTGTTTGGTATCGAAAATGGGTTATTTCGGTTCACGTTTCGATATATATAATAAAATATAATAAAAATTAAAGTTCCACTCAACGTATCCGTTAAAAATCTTAACAGACATAAATCTCGAGCTAAATCATCGCATTCATTAAAGATAATAAATTATATAAGATATTAATTGGAAGTGAAAATTATGCTATACCACATTACCTGCACTTTTTTAAAATCACTTTTAATGGAATTTCAAATATTTTCTCAAATATCTCTTAAATTGTTAGAATAATATTATTTTCAAATTGATACATGGAAAGACAACACATGTTGCATGTAAAGTGTAAAAATTCAATTCAATCGGATAAAAAATAAAAATTTGGCAATCTAAAAACAAATGGGTATACCACATTTGCTTCACCTCCTTTATAACGGTACTTCCAAGTATTCGGTATTTTGGCACGTTTTTCAATCGAGTAGTAAATCACCCTAAAGAAATTTGTTATAATAATAAATGAATTATATTTTCCACCGACGCACAGGGGG